CTGAAATTGTTTCCTAATCGTCTTGTGTAGGCCTTGTATTTCTATTTTATACTTTCTGTTTCTCCATCTTTTACATTTTCTCATTGTCTTATAAATAAGGTTTGAGCCCCCTTTCTGATATTGTCTATTGTTCTTTTGTTTCACTGTTTTCCCTCCTCTGCCCCATTTTTATTTCTAGAGACTAAAGTCCAGTCCAGTTTGTGGAGCAGACCTTTGTTTTCAAACTGTTTTTTCAAGATGTACTTCCTTTCCTAAATTGTTAGTGACTGTTTCTTTTTCTCAAGAAAAGAAAAGAAAAAAAAGGGAGAGATGTTGATGACAAACATAGAGTCTAGACTGTCCAATATCATCTAACTTAATTATGAAAAGTTAAATACTTTCTTTTTTTTTTTTAATTGATTACCATCTTGTTTATGTAGACCTTTCTTGAGACAAGGCTTGCAGAGCTAGCCGAGAAGCAGGGGCATGTAACTCATTATATCTTCACCGACTCAGATATAGCTGTGGTTGATGACTTAGGACATATATTTGACAGCTATAAAAATTTCCATTTGGCTCTCACCTTCAGGAACAACAAAGATCAGCCTCTGAACTCTGGATTTATTGCTGTGAAGGGCACAAGTCAAGCAATTTTAAGGTTAGATCCTTCTCTTTGGTTCTCCTTTTGAAGAGTCATCATGGGCTGAAGAATAATTGAAGGCTCTAATATCATAACCTTTACACAACTAACAATTTGGTCAGCTGGGAGGAAGGCAGTAAAGGATATAAATCTAATACCCTGTATCTGCTAGAGCATTACTTTCCCATCTTTCAGCATGAAGGTCTGAGAGACAGTAATCTTTTAGGTAGCAATGTTTCCAGACATAACACAGTTGGGGACACAAACCTCTGAGTAGCAGATGGTTGGCTCAAGAATTACCAATGGTGCTTGTCTTGAGCTATCAATGTCTGGAAATAACAACTCCCTAGGCGCATCCTCCTCCTTTGTTTCTTTCCGGTGTCTTGACAAATGACAATTTATTAAAACTATTATGTAAATTTCACAACAGAACCTTACAAAGGGGAATTGCTTGCAGGGCAAAGGTTTTCCTTGAAGAAGTGCTAAAAATCTATAGTTCCAAATACATGAAGGCATCCCGAATGCTTGGAGATCAGTTAGCTCTTGCCTGGGTTGTAAAATCACACCCTTCTTTTGATGCAAGGAGATTCACTAAAGCACAGCCTTTCATTGAAGAAATTGGTGTTGCATCTGTTCTATTTTTACCCTGTTCTATGTATAATTGGACCCCACCTGAGGGTGCAGGCCAATTTCATGGCATGCCACTGGATGTCAGGGTATTTTAGACTTTCATGATTTTATCAGTTACTAGATGAAGCACTATAACCCTTAACTTATCTTGTTTTTACTTGCCGGATACAGGTTGTTCATTTTAAGGGATCAAGGAAACGCCTAATGCTCGAGGCTTGGAACTTTTTTAATTCTTCTTCAGACATTTCAGATATGTTGTGTCTCATTTTGAGTAGTGGCAGAACAAAGTATGATTTTTGAATAATTTCATTTGGTTCAATAGGAATCAATGTGATAGAAAACATCAATTCATCCAAAATGAATATACTTCTTGATGATTAAAAAGAAACACGATGAGATTGATTTCTTTACATTTTTATTTTCATTTTTTTTTTTAAGTTTTAAAATGGAAGAAAGTCAAAGTACAAAAAAATAGGCCAAAGATGGTTCGAGGCCCTAATTTCAGTACAATCAAAATTATGGTAGCGAATAAATATGATGATTGAGCATCTCAATTTCATGCATCGCTTTGCATGTTTGTTGTTGGAGTGAAGTTAGGCTATAGAATATGTCAATGCTTTATCTTTATGAGCAATTTTCTTCTCACGTGAAATAACCAAAGTTTGAATTTTTTTTGTGGCATTAAATTGCTTGTGATGGAAGTCACATTGTTTGCAAAAGAAAGGTTGTTGTAGATAATGTTGCTACTTGGCACCCAGACACACAAGGAACCCGTTTGGTGAAATGAATTCTATGCTGAAAAGGTCATCAATTTGATAAGAAACCTCTAGAAGGTAGAAATCTTACAATTGTATTGGAGGCGGAACAGGTCTAATTGCTTGTATGTTGTACTGTTCAAACAAGGTTTAATTAATCAAAGTAGTTATTAAATGTTGGCAAAACTCAAACAAGTGAGAAAAAGGGGCAAGTAATAATTGACGAGAGGCGTATATTCTCACAAGTATTGAATTACAAGCATGGCCACCGGAATTCTCTCAAATTTAGCTTCCGACTCTTCCTTCCCTTCCTTGCAGGAGGCTGATCTTCTGGCTCGTAGCGTGAAGAAAATCAAGAGTAATACCACCATAAGACCCAATGGTGAAGGCTCCGAAATCACTATGACAGAATCTCACGAGTCGTTAGCGATGGCGACTCAGAGTGCAGAACAATCCCCAACTGCGGTGGAACTCGACATTATGGATATACCTCCAGCGTTATCCTTTGCGGATCTCCTCCGCAAAGAGGATAATGACCCCACCATTATTGAATTCTCCACACAGTCTGACTATCTCGATGAAGATTCTGATGTGGAGGAGGCCAGTGAGGAAAACATTCCTACAGTTCTTCTCTCAAAGGCGGATAAGAAAAGAATCCGGATTCCGTGGGTGAATTCTATCATCATCAAGGCTGCTTTTGCAGAATCAGTGGGCTACTCATTCATCTACCCACGCATTAAAGCTCAATGGAAACCCAAAGGTAAATGGGAATGCATTGACTTGGGACTCGATTTTTTTCTTGTTCGGTTTCAGGACGAGAATGACTTGCACAAAGTTGTCTATGGAGGTCCTTGGTTTGTTGGCCCTTATTACTTAACAATTAGACGGTGGGAACCAAATTTCAACCCATCCAAGGCCACCTTCTCAACCACAGTTATTTGGGCCAGACTTCCCGAACTGCCTACTGAGTTCTATGATCCTGAAACTCTAATTCGCATCGGAAACAAAATTGGGAATCTGCTAAGGGTTGATGCGCACACCATCCATCATACCAGAGGCCAATATGCCCGTTTATGCGTTCAAGTGGATATCAACAAGCCCCTGATTAGTCATGTCAGAATTGGGAAACATAAGCAAAGAGTTGTTTATGAGGGAATTCAAACTCTCTGCTTTAAATGTGGCAAAATTGGCCATAAAGAAAGCCAATGCCCAGGAAACTCTATGAGCTCTAAACATCTAAATGTGGGGCAAGAGCTATTGAGGCCGATTAACTCCAGCAATATGGACCCACCAAGGGACTCTGTTTTGACCATCAATGCTCCACCTTCTACCTCGATCACAAACCCACAGCCTGAGGTTCAACCCTATGGCCCATGGATTGTTGTTGAAAGAAGGAAAAAGAAACCAGGACCAAAAGGGAGGAACAGCAGTACCCAAAACGGTGTAAAACAGAAGGAATTGCCGGCGACGGCGTTGCAACCAGGAATGGGGAAAATGGTGAGTAACTCCGACCCAACCGATGACCCGATCCGTCAGATCAAACCAAAGGGTAAGGAGAGGCAACCATCTAATCAACCAGCTGCTCCTAACGGACCCAAGTCCATCACCATAAATGTCGCCCACTCTCTGTTTTCTCAACCAACGGCTAGTATGTCGAGTCTCAAAATTCAAACAAAAAATGGCCCTTCTAATCCTGCAAGACTAACTTCTAAATCAGGTCCTAAAGGCCAAGTCTATAGACCCATTTATCCAACTACTAAGCCCGTTGATCCTAAGGGATTGAATACCCAAGAAGAGCCTGCTTATCCCAAGCCTATTCCCTCATTCTCTAAGCCCCAAATGGCCCAAATTCAAGACACACAGCTTCCCCAGGACCCCGAACCGAGTCTAGCTCATTCAATCCCCATCCCCTTTACCACTCAAGTCAACACCAGTTCCCTCCACCCCCCACAGACCTCCATTGTTAACATCTCCTTGCATGATGGCGGATTTCCCATCAACCCGCCTTCTCCAAATGAGCAGCAGTCTCGAAGCCTTTCTGGTGAGCGAGGGCCAAGTGATTCGGTTGGAAAGTGCTCTACAACAAATAATCCAAATCCCATCCCCCCGACCACTGTTTTGGACCATGGACCGCATCTCCTCAACTTGGCGCTCACCTCTCCTGGTGCCGAAGGAGATCAACCCACGGAGATTCCTTCCCCTCTACCGATCACTGGAATCAGATCGCAGAGGAAAGATCGATCTCCTCTCGGTGCTGGATCTAAGTTACAACTCCGTCGACGCCAACATAGACAGATCACTCACCCGTATCTCCCCTCTGAAAGTATTCTGTCCATCCAGCAAGCCTCATCTGAACATCTTGGAGGCAATAGGGGAGATGAAGGAGATGCACTTGTTTATTCGGAGCTTGTATGTCCCGATGTCCCCACAGGAGATGGATTACCAGTTTCTGGCGATCCCGTACTACTTCCCCTATGCGCAGATGGTGCTCAGCCACTCGTCCAGCCCGTCACCAATTCTGTGCCAGATGGAAGCACTTAGTGCCTTGGGTTCGACCTTCATTAACTCTTGGAATATGAAGATTGTCTCATGGAACTGCCGCGGTGCGGCTAATCAAAACTTTCTCAATCATGTGTTGGAGCTTAAAAGGATTCACTCCCCTGCTATTATGTTAATCATGGAAACCAAGCTCAATGGTGAAAGAGCCCACACTTTGGCATCCAGAATCTTCCCAGATTGTCATGTCGTGGATTCAGATGGTCTTGCCGGAGGTTTATGGCTCCTATGGGATGTCAACAAAGTGAATATTGATATTGTCTTTTCTAGCAGTCAAGCAATCCACGCTGTGGTTAAGGTATGTAATCATTCTGTCATCTCTAATTCTGACTGGTTTTTTTCTGGTGTGTATGGCAGACCCCATTTTGATATCAGATCTCTCCTTTGGCATGAATTATCTGATATGGCTAAGCATGTTAATATCCCCTGGATTATAGCTGGTGATTTTAATGATGTCACCGAACAAGGGGAGAAATTTGGGGGTAACCCTATTAACCAGTTGAGAGTTAATGCTTATCTCTCCTGTATGAGTGATTGTGGTATGATGGATATGGGTTATGTTGGGGGGAAATATACTTGGGTTAATATGCGGAATTCCCGCATTATTAGGGAACGTCTTGACAGGTTTTGGTGTAATTCTAATTGTAGAATCCTTTTCCCTGAAGCTACAGTATATCACCTCCCTAGACTCATTTCTGACCATAATCCCATTTTGCTGAACCTTACCCCTCATATTCCATCTATTGGCAAAAGACCCTTTCGTTATGAGAAATTCTGGTTTGACCACCCTGATTTTATTGATATCATTGATAGAATTTGGTCTCACCCTCACAGCAATACCTCTTCCTGTCTTGCCTCTACTATGACTAGTATCAAATTATGGAGTCGTGACACATTTGGTAACCTGTTCAAACGAAAAAAGGTCATCCTTGCTCGTTTGGAAGGTATCCATAAGTCTCTCTCCATTAACCACAACAACTTTCTCTTTGACCTTGAGAAAGATCTGTCCCATGAATACTCTGAAATCCTTAATTGTGAAGCTGATCTTTGGTTCCTTAAGTCCAGATCTGATTGGATTGTGGATGGGGATAAAAACTCTCGCTTCTTTCACATTACTACCATGAGACATAGATCCAGGAATAGAATCCTTGGGCTGTACAACCCAGAGGGGGTTTGGATTACCGATTCTATGCATCTGAAGTTTATGGTGACCAACTATTTTTCTACACTCTTTTCATCTACCGCTCCCCATTCCTTTCATGATTCATATGATCTAATTCGAACCACCACTCCTTATTCTCTGGATATCTCTGATGATTTGGCTATGCCCCCATCTTTATTTGAAATTAGGAAGGCTGTTTTTTCCATGAAGGCCTTTAAAGCCCCTGGCCCGGATGGTACTCACCCTTTCTTTTATCAAAAATTATGGCACTCTGTTAAGGATACCATCCTCCTTGACATCCAACAGATTTTTATATCAGGAATTGTCCCCCCTAAATGGAATGAATGCTTGATCACTTTGATTCCAAAGGTGGGTAGTCCTGTTAATATTAATCAGTTCAGGCCTATTGGTTTGTGTAATGTTAACTACAAGATTGTCTCTAAGATCATTGTCCATAGGCTCAAACCCCTTTTGGATTCCATCATTTCTCCTTGCCAAACTAGTTTTGTGCCTGGGAGACGCGGATCTGACAATATTCTCATCCTTCAAGAACTGGTTTACTCCTATAATAGGAAGACTGGTAGGAAGGGTGGGATGATTATCAAGCTGGACTTGGAGAAAGCATATGATAAACTTGAATGGAGTTTTATTCGGGAGACTCTTATTTTCTTCCAACTCCCTCCTACTCTCATTTCCCTTATCATGTCCTGTGTCTCCTCTACCAGCATGTCTATCCTTGTCAATGGAGAGACCACTGATCGCTTCCTCCCCTCTCGGGGTATCCGACAGGGAGATCCTCTTTCCCCTTATCTTTTTATTCTTTGTATGGAATTCCTTTCCTTAAGATTTACTGATGGTATTAATTCTGGTTTGTGGAAAGGATGTAAAGCTGGTCGGAGTGGCCCCACTCTTTCCCACCTCTTTTTTGCAGATGATCTCATCTTTATCGGGGAAGCATCCCAACAAAACTGCATGTTCTTCTCTTCTGTTATGCAAGAATTTTGTGCGAGATCCGGTCTCATGATTAATCATGAGAAGTCTAAAGTCCTTTTCTCCAAGAATGTTCAGGCTCAGACCAGGGATAACCTAAGCTCCTTGTTAGGTCTTCCACAGACCTCATCCCTTGGTAAGTATCTTGGTATTCCCATTACTGCTAAGAAAATTAAGCAAGCTGATTGTAATTTTATTCTGGATAAAGTTCGATCTAAGCTTGCTGGTTGGAAAGCTAAATTTTTTACCATGGCTGGTAGAACCACCCTTATTAAATCTGTCCTTGCTGCCATCCCTAATTATTACATGCAGTCCCAAATGCTCCCTTCTTCTACTTTGAAGGATCTTGATAAAATTTCGCGTAATTTTCTTTGGGGCTCCACTGAGAACCAACCTAAGTTGCATCTTGTTTCTTGGGAAAAAATTACCCAACCTAAATCCTATGGTGGATTGGGTATTAAAGCAGCGAAGGAAGCTAATTTGGCTGCCATGTGCAAGCTTAATTGGCGTCTCCATACTGAAAAGCATGCCTTGTGGAACCGTGTTCTCTCTACCAAATACCATATTAACAATTGCAGGTTCCAATATCCTAATCTCTGCTCCCCTGTCTTGCATAACTTTAAGAAAGGCAGCATGCTATTTTCCGAAGGCCTCAAGTGGATCCCTAGAGACGGCAATCTTATCTCCTTTTGGAATGACACTTGGTTTGGTCATAGGCCTCTTAGCTCCATTTTAAATGGTCCTCTGCTTGAAACTGACCCTTCTCTGCTTGTTTCTGATTGTGTTTCACAAGGTCAGATTATCGACAGAGCTATCTCCTATGACTTGCCTCCTTACATTGTTCAGGCCATCAAAGCTATCCCTTTGTCTTTGTTTGATTCTGGAGCTGATCAATTTGCGTGGAAACTCAATGCCAATGGCTCCTTCTCTTCCTCCTCGGCTTATTGCCTTGCCAAGAAGACTTCCCTCAGCCTGGAGCAGAACTGGTCTTGGATTTGGAAGGTCCACACCTTGCCAAAAATCCAAAACTTCATCTGGTTGCTTTGCCATAATCGGATTAAGACCCTGGGGTACCTTAACAGTATTGGTGTTATCAATTTTTCTACCTGTCCTCTCTGTTCTCTTAATTCTGAAACTGCAGCTCACCTGGTCCGGAATTGTCCTAGCTCTCGTGCTATCTGGGATGCTCTTTTACCTGGATTGACTTCCCATCGGACCATGGATGCTCCACTGGTTGAGTGGTTGCGGTTCAACTGTGGTAGGAAGGACAGCAGCCCCTTCTTATCTATTCCATGGGGTACCCTCTTCTCCTTTACCATTTGGACTATTTGGATTCAAAGGAATTGTAAGTTGTACAAACCTGAGAATTATAATCCTTCTAGCAGTATTTCCATTATCAAGAACAAAGCAGCAGAATTCTGGGCTTGCTGCTCCTCACATCAACATACTAGTCAGGCAACGTCCATTGCCGTCAAATGGACTAAGCCTTCTTCAGGTGTTGTTAAGCTTAACACCGATGGTTCCTTCCTTAGCAGGTCTGGTATGGCTGCTTCTGGAGGCTTATTTAGGGATCATGAGGGGAAGTGGATGCTTGGCTATGCAAGGAATATTGGTCACACGTCTTGTTTGGCAGCTGAGCTTTGGGCCATCCGGGATGGTCTTCAATTAGCTGTTGACAAAGGATTTAATCGTTTATGCATTGAGACTGACTCTCTTACTGCCCTTAATCTTATTTCCAAGGATTGCTGTAATCACCACCCTCTTACTGCTCTCATTTTGGACTGCAGGGAACTACTCAGTAGGATACCAGAAGGTGATATCCAGCACATCTTCAGAGAATCCAATATGTGTGCTGATTTTTTGTCTAAGTTAGGCCACTCCTTATCTACTAATTTTGCTATGTATGAGGACTGCCCCCAGGGCCTGAACGTTTATCTGGCTTCGGATATGTATGGGATTGAATATCCCAGATATGTACTATAGTTCTTCCGTTAATTCTACTTCCTATTTTCACCAAAAAAAGGTACCATTTTATCATAACAATGGTGGCTACCTTTGTTTTAATTCCTAACTGGCCTAAAAGTAAATGTTATAGTTACAATATTA